TTTGGGGTTATATATTCTGTTTTTTTCTTTCTCTGTCTGCAGGCATCTGAAGTGTACCAAATAAACAAACATGCACAAACCAGAAGAGTTTGCCACATTGCTATGCATGCAGATTTGTTGTAGGTGGGAATCAACCAACTAAAAACTTGCAGGGAAACCTTTCTGTGAAATTTCTTGACAATTTAAGTCGAAAATCAAGGTGTGAAATTGTGAAGGTGAAAACAGCAATGAAATTGTTCAGAGCCTTTTACTATAAGTACATAATTTATTATTATCTGGCATAGTACCAAAATTGGTGATTGAGGAAAGACATGGAAATTTGACTTGGTGTGTACAGAAATTAAGATTAGTTCAAAGCCTTCCAGTGTAACTATATCTCATTGGCAAAATGATATGATTTATGGACTGTTAATTAAATCTCCCTTCTCTCTGCCATTACAAATACATTTATCCATACAACCAAGCCATAATTACCTGATGATTGAACATGGCATACTGATGAAAAAGTATACTCAAACAACTCAAAACTTGGCAAATATGACAATAAAAGACAATCATAAGCAGAATACTTGTCAACTATTCACAAATAAAATTGAACATGCAATCAATAAATAGTCCTCACATTTTCTGTAATCATGTAATGAAAATACTTTTTTTTATAAATATATTGAGTGCAACCTCAGCCAGATGCTGATGGTGCTGACACCAGGCTATGTGATGTGATCAAACACCTGTGCAAACCTCATGAAGTTGGATCAACAAGGCCAAGTGCAAGGTCCTGCACCTGGCCCAGGGCAATCCCAAGCACAAGTCCAGCCTGGGTGGAGAATGGACTGAGAGCAGCCCTGGGGAAAAGGACTTTGGAATGTTTGTGGATGAAAACCTGGACATGTGCACTCACATCCTAGAAAGCCAGCCACTTCCTGGGCTGTATCAAAGGATTATATGGTTCAGATTAGATAATGGGGGAAAAATCACTGAGAGGGTTAGACCCTGGAATAAGCTGTCCAGGAAGATGGGGGAGTCACCATCTCTGGAAGTGTTCAAGAGGTGTCTGGATGTGACATTTGGGGATATAGATTAGGGGTGATTTTGTTGGTGCTGGGTTGGCAGTGGGACTACATTATCTTGAATATCTCTTCCAGCCTCCACGAGTCTGCAATGAGCACTGTGACCAGTGGGGCAAGGCTCTCATGAGCCCTCACCTGGAATACTGTGCCCTGCTCTGGAGTTCTCAGCATGACATGGACATGGATCTGTTGGAGCAAGTCCAGATGGAGTCACAAAGATGCTCAGAAGGCTTGAGCGCATCTCCTATGAAGACAGGCTGAGAGAGTTGGGGTTGTTCAGTCTGGAGAATAAAAGGCTTCTGGAAGACCTTATGACACCTTTCAGTAGTACCTAAAGGGAATTCTTTTGGGCTGGAGAGGGACTTTTCAAAGGACGTGTGACAACAGGATAAGGGGAAATGGCTTCAAACTGAAAGAGGGCAGGTTTACATCAGACACAAGGAAGAAATTCTTCATTATGGGGTTGATCAGACATTGGCACAGGTTGCCCAGGAAGTTTTGAATTCCCCATTCCTGTTAGTGTTCAAGGCCAGTTGGATGGGGCTTAGAGCAACCTGGCCTAGTGGAAGGTGTCTCTGCCCAAGGCAGGGCATGGAACTCGATCATCTTCACTGACCCTTTAAAGGAAATCTATTCTACAGTTTTATGATTCTACATTCAAAGTATTTTATTAGAAACCACCTGTGGCAATTGCTATAATAATATGAATTTCTTTATTCTATCTGGCTGATAAAGTTACCAAAGGTAGGGGTTTTTATTTGAGAATAACTTTAAAACTAAAAAATATCTAATTATTGTTACTATATTATGATTGATCTAATGACAATTATATGGGAATTAGCTTTGCCCAACAAATAAAAGCTATATTTGTGGCAGTCAAGTCTATTTATTATAATGTAAGCAGTCTCTTTCATAAAATGAGTTGTGGAAGGATGCATTTCTCATCACTTGATCCATAAAGGGAAAATACTTTCATTAAATATCTTTGAGCTCTAGCAGCTCCAGATAAAAATTCAGTAGTCTTAGAACAAAGTTGGTTTTTCTCTATATAGTCTCATTATCTGGTCCATAACTTCTAGTATACATAACATTATTGGACTCCATTACAAGAAGCATTAAAATGGAACAGTAGAATATTTTAACTGTTAACATGCAGAAGAATGTTACAAAAAGTTAGATTTTTGTGCCTCTGTAAATGCTCACTAAACCTTGATTTTCTTATTTGCTTGAGTAAATAAATTATAATTGTTATGAGAGTTCAAACAGCTAAGATTACTTCTTTTTGCTGTAGTATTCTGCATTTGCATAGCACCTCTCCTCTAAAAGGGTGACTACATGTGATAGGTAACTATTGAAAGTTACCCATCACATGTCTTTCCTTTACCCTTCAGCCACATCATTTGGCCTTTATTTCTTGTTTTCTACTATGTTACCCCCTATTCAGGATTATGGAAGGCCTAATGCTGGTGGAATTGCTATTGTGCTATTAATCAACAGAGAATAAAATATCAACAGTGAAATGGGAATAATTACTAAATGTCAGAAAAGGAGACAGGTGAAAGCATTCTATAGTTCTGATATTACTGACATTACATTTCTGTGAAAAATTTAAGAAAACAAATTCTTTTTCTTCATAATATTCACTGGTTCCAGTGCTATCACAACTTCTTTTGTAATAAAAGACAAGAAAGCACCCTAAAGTAATCAGATAATTATTTCTGGAAAAAGTACATGAGATAGAAGGGAGAGTTTTTGTCTATGGTACAAAACTTTTATCACATCTACACAACACTGCCATCCATCACACCAATTTCACTTGATTCTCTATGCATTTAATTTGATTTGTTTTTCCTGACTTCTATCTCCTGCTGTGGTGTTTTGGATGCCCACCAAAGCCACTCTATCTCTGCCCTCCTCACCTGGGCAGGGGAGAGAAAACGTAACAAAATGCTTATGGTTGAGATAAGGGCAGGGAGAGATCTCTCCCCAGTGACTGTCATGGGTAAACCAGACTGAGCCTGGGAAATTAGTTAAACTTATTAGCAATCAAAAGCAGAGCAGGATAATAAGAAGTGCAACAAATTTTAAGACACCTTTCCTTTACCCCACCCTCCCTCTAGCTTAACTTAATTCACAGTTCTTTATTTCCCCCCTCCCAGTGTCTCAGGGAGGTGTGGAAAGGGGGTTATGGTCAGTTCATCACATGTTGTTTCTCCTGTTGCTTTCCCCTCAGGGAGAGGAGTCCTTCCTCTACTCCAGCACGGGGTCCCTCCCACAGGAGACGGGCTTCCAAGAACTTGTGCAACCTGAGAGCTTCCCATGGGCTGCAGCTCCTTGCGAGAGGGTCCTTAGAGTGGACCCTCCCAAGGGATGCAGTCCCTCAGGAACAGGCTGTTCCAGCATGGGTCCCCCATGGGGTCACAAGTGCTACCAGCAAATCTCCTCCAGTGTGGGCTCCTCTCCCCATGGGCCACAGGTCCTGCGTGGAGCCTGTTCCAGGGCAGTCTTCCCACAGGGCCACAGCCTCCTTCAGGCACCCACAGCTCCACTGTGATGTCCTCCATGGGCTGCAGGTGGATCTCTGTTACCCCATAGATCTCCTTGGGCAGCAGGGCAAAGCTGCCCCACCAGAGGCTGCACCAAGGGCTGCAGGAAAATCTCTGCCTGAAGCACCCATCCTTCTGCACCGACTTTGGGATCTTCAGGCTTGTTGCTCTCTTGTGTTCTCACCCCACTCTACTCCTCTATGTCCACAATTACTTCTGACCAATACGTTTATTTTTCCTTCTAATGTGATATCACAGAGCTGTTGCCACCACTGCTGACTGTCGTGGCCTTGGCCAGCACTGAGTCCCTCTTGGAGCCGCTGACCTTGGCTCTGTTGGATGCGAGGAAGCTCCAGGCAGCTTCTCAGAGAAGCCTCCCTATTGGACCCTCTGCTATGAGAACACTGCCATGCAAACCCAAAACATCTGCTCTCTATCCAAAACAGAGAGACAACAGACAATTCAGCTGCCTCAGCCTAAGCATTCCTGTCCATTTGAGTTAGCCTAGAGATGCCTCCAGCTGCTGCTACAGAATGGTGCATGACGTGCCAAGATGTGTGTTGCAATTGTCAACACCATGCAGGTGCTTGGGCAGAGTGGGACATCCCAAACCACGTGTTTAAGAGTCTGAGTTGAGACCACACTTATGCACATTTTCAAAATATAACTCATCCTCTTTGTTTGAGCCATGTCGCTCACAGTGATGAAGCGCATTAGGAGGAGGTACCTACCCTTTCTGTCCATTTAACAGAGAGAGCTGAGGGATTTAATTCAGCTGGTTTCTGTGGCTATGCTTGCCACTAAATATGTGTTCATCATAACTGACAAAAATGGAAAAAAATATTCAAACAGTAATATTTCATAATATCAAATTCAAAAATCAAACCCAAATTGGAAGCACCACCACCACCCAGTCTTCTCAAAAGTGTCAGTAGACATTAAGGTTATCCTTCCATTGTGAAACTTAATCTTCTACTAGGACAAAGTCATTGGAGATTAATTAGGAGTAATGATCTGTGGGTAAGTCTTTAAAAAGAGGACTGGAATACTTTTTGTGTTGCTGTTGTTATTGCAATTGTCAGATATGTCAACACAGAAGATAGTTAACTTTTGGAGAAGAAACCTCTATTGGATACTTTTACAAATATGTTAATAAACCACACAAAATGGCATCTTCCATAAAAAACTGAAGCTGGCGCTGAAGTCCCAGCAAATGAGTAGTTCAAAAGTTAGAAAGTTAGTTAGGCCTCTCCAGTTTAGGCATTTTTACTTTCTTAATTTGCAATAATTTCTTGGCCACAACGGTACAACATCCTTCTAATCTTTCCTGACTGATCTGTTCAGATTTGTACAAACATACCTTAATAGTCTTTGGAGCATGGATTAGAAAGCAATGACTGACTTCTCAGGGGTCTGTCCCAACCCCACCCTGCAGAGTTGGTCAGGTGCTCATCACAGACTGCGTCTGCTTCCACAGAAGCTCCAGAGCCAGGCAAGGATCCAGTACAGCAACTGAAGGTAAATCCTATAATTATTCTTTGGGTAGTATGAAAAAAGGCAAAAGATTTTTGAAAAATCATCTTTTTGCTGAATCCAAAGCAATTACTCAAACAGCTAATAACCCATTGCTTATTAGTACAACATGTTTTTTTTCAAGCATCTGGACGTGGGTGTTAAATCCCAAACAGCTGTTAGTGATTCCCTGCTGTATCCCTGTATTTTTATTATTGTAATCCATGTATCTCTTGAATATTAGAAGCATTTTAACACATAGAGTTACCAAGCAACTGCTCAGGAGAGCCTTATTATATGCACATTTCTTGCATGCTTCATGAGGCTGCTCTGTGAACAGAATTATCAAAGCACAGGAACAGAAGACTAAGCTGGAGAAAGAGACCAGCTAAAGGAGACAGCAATTTTAGAGGACTAATTCTATGAAACTCACTCTATTTAATAAACATCAAAGACTCAAAGAGCATAGAGGCTGTTAACCTTCTGCAGCTCCAGGCTTCACATTCTGACATGTGAGGCTAGCTGCAAGCTTCATGCCGCAAGAAGGATTTTAAAGACTTTAGCCTTTTTATCTTGGCCCTAGAATTATACTTGTGTAGAGGATATTCTCAAACATTCAACATTCAACCTAATGACCCCAACATAAATGAGCAGCTCAATATGACAGTTTGTATGTGGTAGCAGTGCTCCTACAATGCAATGTCAGCATTACTCATTTTATTTAGTCTAATTTGTGCATGCTTTAGTAGCACCTCATCACATTTTTAGGCCTTTTCTCCAATACCAAGAGGGCTCAGACCTTACATCTTTTATAAAAGCCAGGTATTTCCTGTAATCACATGATTTCTCAAACCTGCAGTGCTTGGAAGCAAGCAACTATATATTTGCTTTCTATATTGGTCAGCATATTTTGATTATGGTAAGAGTCTAAGAAACTGACATGCCATGGTGTTTTTTGTGAACTGCAATTCATATACACATTAATGCTTAAACTGTAACAAATATACAATTTAAGTAGAGATTTGAGGAGAAGATGGTAATAATGTTCCTTTCTGGAAAATTTGGTGTTTTTGAGAACGATATCAAACAAGACTAGAGCATTTAAAAAAGTGAATATATGGGACATGAAATGTTGTTCATTGAAAGGATTTTGGGTTTAAGGCTAAGTATTTTATTAGAAAATATTATTTTTTCAGTCTGAAAAAAACAAGCTGTTTTTCTTTCCTTCTGTACTTCTAACTCCCAGTGTGCTATGGCATTGTAGAATGAATTTTCTGTGTTTTTTTTTCTAGCAGGAACACCCACAAGAGGATCTGCAGGAGTTAGCACATCTCCTGCAGAGCTTGTGTTCAGGCAAAATTAAGAAATCTTTTTGGATAGAAGCTGACATGGAATAGAGCTATTTGTCTTTTCCCTGTAACCTTGAGAACTCCAGCTTCTAGGAGCACAGCTTACTGCTATGCTAACAGGTCTGTTGCTGACAGGCAACTGTCTTAGGCTTTACTGCTTGCCTTGGAAGAAAAATAAATACATTTACTGGCTGCTATGCTTCGACTTCTGTTGAAGTTCAAGCAGAGCAAGCACCAGTGTCTGATCTCCAAGCTGGGTAGACTGTTTCTGTATAAATGACAGTTTTCATGTAGAAATGCAGTATGCGTTCACATAGCTAATCAAATGGGATGAAAGCATGCTGAAAAGCTGTAGCATCCATATTTCCTATTAAAAGGATGCTCACCTTAGAGTCAAAGAAAGTGAAAAGCTCTACAGGATAACTTGAAAAAAAATAGTTGTATGTTATTAGCAGGGCAAATGTGATAGTTTTACCAAAGTATCCTGGGTCAAATTTATTTCAGGTTACCTGGAATATGAATCCGCATCAAAAGCTGTGGCAATCCTTTGTTGAGCAAGTCTCCTACCAGCACTGACATAGTGGTTGCCATAAATTGCCACCAGGGAAAGGGAGCACTGAAGAAAGGATGGGATGACTTTCTGTCCCACACTTAAAACCATGGTGGGAACCATAGCAACAGCTGAGCAGGAGAATACAGCATGTTTCATATGGCATAGAGAGCATGAAAAATCAGGTAGACTCACACTGAGACCTTTTAATTTTTAAGTGGTTTATCACAACATGTGAACCTTTGTTTTATGTTGAAGATTTGCTTATGGGATGCCTTATTGGGTCCATTAGTAACTGGCCACGCAATTTCAGACATCTGCTTCTCTTCCACTAAGCAGCTCTAAAGTTAAACCTGCAGTTGTATGTCATAAAGCATTAACCCCCCAACATCATCTGAACGACTCATCTTTGTTAGCAAATAGGCCCACTGATTTTTGAAGATGGACTAGCAAAAGTCAACACTAGAATGGCACAAAGCATTGTAATGGTCATGCTGTTTCAGGCATCTTTTCTGGAAATGCATACACCAGCCTTTTCCCACCCACCTGAGGAATTATGCAGGATAATAAAGACCATTTAAACATCCTTCCTTCAGACTGCTCCATTTTAGCTGTAGAAGGAACATGGTATTGTCAATAGAATATGCTCCTACTAAACTGCTTTCTGTGTGTAATATCTGGAAAAAGAAACCAACTTTGTATTTCCTTTTGCATAATACATTAACACCCTGTCACCTATAAATACTCAGACTCAACCTCCTGTCAGATTCCATTTGTATTTCTACTTAATATTTTCTTCCCTTCCTTTCAGCACACTCTTTGATACTCTTTGCCTTTTTGCCTTTTTACTGGTTTCTTGGTACCTTGTCTGCACATGAAATTAATTTAGCAACTCCTTTTGAATATTCCTGCTTTTGAATCTTACTTTTAGGCTGATTTAATTTCTGAAGTAATTTAAATGGTGATAAAGTACCCTAATGAAGATTTCTAAATACATTGGTATTCAGGAAAAAATGCTGCAGATTACAATCATTCTCTGCCTTAATCCAAAATAACATTTTATTTCTGGTCTTAAAATAAAGCCTATTGCTACTGAGACTCTCCCTAGTGAAGTGAGACCATGATTGATGTTGAAAATATAATTAAATGAATAATATAATATGATGTAATTTGTAACTATAACATAGTTCTACCATAGCAGTCTTTTTGAATTCTACTTTAATCATATTTGATATAGTTCCTGGAAGCTATGAATGATTTTGGGAATAGAAGACTTCTTACCTGATAGACTTCTACTTTCTGCATGACCATTGCAATACAGAAGTGTCCAAAGATCTTCTACAGTGAATACTGTTAATTTGATTAATATGGTCTGTTTAACTGATTTTGTTTCTTCTGTTTGTTGTACCTCTCATCATTTTGAGCCACTAGCATGGGGGTTCCCACATCATTGGCTATGGGTGGAATCTGGAGAATTTGAATAAGGAAAATTTGTCTCTCTCAATTTCTGACTTCTTTTATCATGCAGGCTTCCTCATCTGGACATCTTCTCAGCTCTGGTGGACTGCCTTATTATTGGGATCTTGAATCCACAACTGCTCCTCTTCATTCTTGTTCTCCTCTTCCTCCTCCCTTCCATGGTGCCTTCATCTGTCTGTACTGCAGAATGAGAAATGTCCCTGGGGGACACTCAGCACTGAGACCCTTTTCCTACACTCAGCACTGTTATTTCCCTGCCTGCTTCTTGAAATTTCCAACAATATGTCTCCAAGACAAATCCTATGGCAATCTTGGGGGACATAATGATACCTGCTAGGAGGCAATATCATTAAATCTACCCATTTCCCAAATGCAAGCATCCCTTACTCTCACTCATGTGAGGCAGCAGGCAGGTTGCACCATACCTGCAGAAAAGCTGCAAAAATGGATTTTTTGGACCCTAAGTTCATCAGATGTGGGCATGTGGCTTAGTGCTGTGCTATATGGTCACATGCAGTCTGTCACAGTGGGAGATAGATCAGGACTGGGGGTTGTTTTAAAGGATGAGTTAATTTACTCAATGTTCTTACTCCTTCACCATCACTCCCCCTAAAACAAAGAATAATTTATTATTATCCATTTCTACCAGTGAAACTCTTCTTAGAATTGGCCTTAAAGACACAGAAAATTACATCAGTGCAATTATATACATTGTTGATGCCAGTCCTGGAAATTTTATCATTTCTTTTTGTTTGAAAAATACATATGTGCTTGTATACATATATTGCAACTGAGAAAAGCTACTGCTTAGCAAATAAAAGCATATTGTCAATGGAAAATTTGTCACAATCCCAATTTTCTACAAGCTCTTACAATGGCACATTTTTTCTATCAGCTTTTTTATGTTATCAGTGCACTTGCTGAGAGTAGATAGATTCTAGGGGTTTACACAGGTTAAATTACCTTATGACATTGTATGATTGCTTTGGAACACAGCAATATATCTACTGCATGCAGTGCTTGGGTCCTAGGCACTAGCAGCATTATTTAAAGCAAGGAGCTGTCATGAAGATTCTGCACTCACTCTTTGCCCCAATTCAGTTCAAGAGGAGGATACAGCTGCTTCATGTTTTGAAAGATCTTAGCAAAAGAAATCATATTTTTTGTTCCACACTTTTTATTCTGCTTCAGCTATTTACATAGTTAGGATACAAATTGAAATAAAGATTTCTTGCATTTAAAATGTAGTGGGATCTGATCTCCCATTGAAGGGAGAGGGTTCAGGGGCTGTAGTTTTATTATCAGTAACTTTGGACATCTGCCCCTGATCTTTCCCTAGGCCTGGGATTATACCAGTTATTTTCTGCATTGATGAAGGAGAAAAATAGAAAGAGGAACAAATGTCAACACAGTGATGTGTTTAAAAGGTCAGAATTAAACATGGAGTTAGATCTGCCATGGGACAGGACAGCAGTGCACTAAAAAGGGAATGACTATCCCTGAGGAAGTGTCCTGGCAGTTCTGCACCAGGGCAACAGCCAGGAGTTTTCACTGGGTTTGCCAGCAAGGGCACAGCTCCCTCCACAGTGGCATCAGGGACTTGAAAAGCCATCCTCTGAACTCTACATGGACTCCACAACTCTGTCCAGCTGCCAGCGGCTCTGCACTGTCCCTGAGGCATGGAGATGTCACAGCTTCAGCCTCTTGAAAATCCCCTAGGCAGTTTCCAAGCCATTGCCACATCCCATTGACAACAGACCTCAAGGCTCCTCTTTCTTGTATGAAAACAAAACAAATATCTGATATTTCCCTGATTTTACTTCATAATATATAATATGACTGGAAACATGTAACTTGTAAATATGGACAATATTTGACTTAATTTTTATTTTAATCAATATCTCAAGGAATATTCCCAAGGATTTTTGTTAATACTGACTTTAAGCAATTAACAGATGTGATTCTTCTGCCAAATGCTAATTAGGGTAATATAGTTAACAATCTGTACTAGGACTAGATCTCTAAAGGATGTGCAGAAATTGTCCTTAAAAATCTGGTGCTTTTCCTTTAACAATCCTTCACACTCATGTTATGATGAACCCTATAGGAATTTAGAGGAATTTCACAGCAGTCTGGACCCCAGAGGATGCCATTAAGGAGCCTGCAGAAGGCCTGTCAACAACTAGTCAGTACTCTTACCCATCCACCACCTAAAACTAATTAGACTAATTATGAACAAATGTCAGTGAAATCATAATATTTGCTGCAGGATGATAAGCCACAAAAGAAACAAACAAAGAAACAAAAACATAAAAAACCAAACCAAACCAAACCAAACAAAATAAACAAAAAAAAATTAAAAAAAACACAAAAAAACCCATAAAACCCCCATAAAACACCAAAGTAGTTGTTAGTCACAGGGAAATATAAACAACAACAAGCTTTCCCTTCTTCTTCTTCTTCTTCTTCTTCTTCTTCTTCTTCTTCTTCTTCTTCTTCTTCTTCTTTTTTCCTAATATATTTCATTTTGTTTGTTCTGAGCACCATCTGCTGGATGTTGCCAGCTTGCACTAACATCCCTGCCAGAGTGAGAACAGGTTATTCACACACACAAGCTGAGTGAGGCAGACCCTGCTGTCACATACAGACACCACCCTTCATATAAACATCCTCCCAATCCTCATATAACATAGGCAACTGACATATGTTTTATCATTTATTTTTAAACACAGGAGAGGCACGCAGTAGGTCGTGGGTTGCATCGGTGTTGGAAGTGCTAAAATAAATCAGTGGTCAGTGGTACAGCTGAGTGCTCCTGTGTCAGGCACTAATCTGCTCTTACCTCCAGACAGGCACAGAGTGTGCCTGGACAAAGACAAGCTCTAATCCTAATTATCAGACTCATGTTTACTTGGCGCCAAAAGGGGTAAAAAGAAGAGTTTAACCTTCCACTTTTGTCTTAGGCTTGCCACCCTGCCTTGTGACCACAATCTGATACGTTTGCTCCTTAGAAAATTCCAACAGAATTTCTCTAAAATGTTTCTCCAAAATTTCACTGACTCTAGTACCTCCCCATTAGAGCCTATTAGACTTGTATAAGGAAAACACAATCTGATCTCATTTGTAATCCTCAAGACACCTACTTTAGAAGCTTTTCAAACTATGTGTATGTAAGCCATGATATTAAAATGTCCACAATGGTCATTATTAGCTGCTGCTTAATTTATTTTTACATTAATTTTGCAAACATTAGGGGTTTTGGCAGGTGTTCATGCAAATCTTGGGGGAAAGATAGCATTGTTGTACATTGTTATCTGTGCTGAGTCACTAAAATACAATCATTATCTGTGTGGACCTGATACAGTTATGAAGAGAACAAAACACTTTTGAGCAGAAAAGTATCCTTGACAGCGCTATACTTTGAAGAGGGAATGAGATAAAGAAAGAACCCTCTCTTCCAGAATTGTCTTTTATTTTTTGCCACAAACACCCTGATTTCTCCCTGAAAACTGAGGCAAATGGAGATGTTGCTAAGGGCAAAGGCAAAACTAACTAGTGCAGAGGGAAGGAGCAAAACAGAACATCTTGAATCATATTTGAGAGGGATTCTATCCATGTGCCCTAAAATGCAAGCCACTTACTCCATAAAGAGCACATGCAAACAGAAACCACTTCAGGACAATTTTCACTTGTCAATTTTCCTTTGGCAGCACAGGATACATAGGCCAAATCAAATATACCATCTACAGTGTTTACAATAAATAAATAAATGTCTTCTAGTTTGGATTTTATTGGGACTATATGAAGAATATGGAGATCTAGGTAAGAGTATGTGTCTGCAAAGGGTACATCAAGAATGATCATTGTATATGTTAAAATACCCTCATAATCTCCTTAGAGACTTTCTTTTCTGAAAGGAAAAAGGTTATGAAAATGTTGCTTTTTTTTTTTTTTTTTTTCCCCCTTCCTTAGTCCCATTGTGATTGCTCTAGCATTCCAAAAGATAATATTCAGGGGTTTATAAGCAAAGAAATAGATTGTTGGGGGTCAAAATAAAAAAAAAAAAAAAAAGAGAAACCATTTTACGCCATCATCAAAAGATGAAATCAACAACACTATTGTTAATAATTTACTCTAGATGGTATAGCACTATTGCCACTGTGATCCAACTAAGTAGAAACAAAAATATTTAGATTTATGGAAAGATCGAGGAAGTTGATGTTCTTATTGTCTGAAAATGTTCTTGCAATGTCTGACAATATTAAAACACATTTACTGAGGTAAAATCAGGGAGTTGTGCCATAATATAGGTTGAAATTGATCTTTGGAAGTCATGTATCCAGCCCCCCACTCAAAGTAGAGCCACTTGCAAAGCTGAATCCAACTTTGAAACCATAAGGTGGTCAGGGCTTTGTCAAGCCTAACTTTGTATCTAAGGATCAAGATCCCACACCCTCTGAGCAACCCATTCCAACCATTTATCAACCTCATTACAGTAATTGGCTTTGTCTTACTGCTTAATTGGGATTTTAGCTGTCTGCAGCTTGTGCCCACTTCCCCCAGCAGTGGAGGCTGTGCATCTTTAACAGGAATCTGGCTCCATCCTTGCTGTAAATACTCACTAAACTGTTGGAGAAAAAGCAGCTTGTTTGCTCTTCCATGGGCTGGGCAAACCCATCTCTCTACAAGTGTCTCCATGTCTGATGTGCCAGTCCCCTGGTCATCTTGATGGCCCTCTGCCATACTCAGCTCAGCTAATCAGCGTCTTCTTTGTGCTGAGAAGCACAAAATTGGATGTAGTACTTTCAAGGCAGTCTTGGGACTGCTACACTGAATAGCCAGCAACAGTCACATCCCTCTTCCTGTGCCTGTGGTCTCTACTAGTACAGACTTTGATGTTCTTAGGCTTCACTGCAGTACATACAAACCAGCTGCATATAAACCAAACACTGCTGGGTATTGTGTTGCTCTAATATAATTGTAATGTTGTTGTGCTGGACTGTAACTGAATTTCCAGAGGAAAATGTGTCATTAACTGCAGTTGTTATTCAATTAATAAACATAACTTGTAAGCCATGTTATCTATTTTAAAGATAATGTCTTAACAAAGTTCTGTAAGCTGGAGAATCCCTCCTAAGAGCTATACAACAAACTACCATGTGGAAGACACAGCAAATGCAACTGCAGTAGAAGCACACGCCCCACTGCTGCAGTCAGTTTTATCCAACACTAATGAAGTTTGTAGAACTCCTACAGAGCAGATAATTATTACATTATGCAGAGGGGAGGAACTGAAGCATAAATAAGCAACTGAACTAATTTTTAAGTCCGCATTTATGGCCTAAATGACCTCTTACCGAGTGGGAGTTTTAGGAATGATTTAATTAGAGGAGAACTGGGTCAAGGCTAAATGCTTTTGAAAATCTCAAGCTACCTTTTCTAACTCAAGGTCAAGCAGAGAACAGAAGTCAAAAGGAAGCTCCACTCCTAATCCTTTAATTTATTTATGCATATCATACTTATAAGCAGTGAATCAGATTCCTCCTACCCAGATTCTAACATTCCCATTGGGAGCAACACAGAGTAAAAAAAGGGGAAGATCAGTTAGTTCCACAATTCTGGGGAATAAAAATAGTCAGCTAAAGAGTGGATGGATGTAATAGTAGATAGGGGGTTTTTTTAACCATTTTTTAATTCAGATATTTAGTGTTTATGTACAATACATTGGTATCCAGAACATTTTTCACACATTGCAAATAAATTATATCCCATGGACACCATTTTTATCAGGGCAGCCTGTCAAGCTACCTTCTCGACCACATATTTT